CTTTTTTTTTTAAATCTCTTGGAATTGTGATATAAGAAAAAAAAAATTAAAGGGTTGTGTCCTAGACCCAACCGCAGTATGACGTAGAACCACACAAAATTGATGTTTGGCATGCATTTTTGACTATTAAACTTATTATTATGAATGGGGCGGGGCAGAACGTATCTTTTGTGCAGAATATGTAAAAAAGGATGGACTTTGGATGTTAATCTAATTGCATATATAGAGGTACCAGATATGTTTTACAGTCAGTTGTTGGTAATCCATCGAGTGTATGTCTCCTGTTAAGCAATTGTTTTTTGAAAATGTTGGCTTTCGATGTAAAAAAATAATTGTTTATACATAATTGTGGTTTGCTTAAATTTGATTTCCCGGGAAAAAATGATCGTCAAAGTCCATGTCTTTTTCGGGTTATTGTTAAAGGGGGAGGGAGAGAAGTTGTTGTTAAGGGGGAGGAGGTGTAACATGCATATTTTGTCATTCTCATTCCTCATTGTGGTGGACACGCCGTGATCCACCTTTAGCCGCTGACTTGGTCCTGCTTGCTGCAGGACCTAGTGCCACGCCATCCGAAGTGGTAATGAGCAGAGGCAGGAGAGCAGCGCTGATTTATATCTTTTCAGGTTCAAGCAGAATGATGTGCAACCAAGTGGTATTCGTTTATGATGACTGGGTTTGGGATAAAGGCTTATTTCATGAAAACAGTGATAAAATTATCATTTGGACAATTTCAAAAGTTTAAATACAGAAAAATTGGAAATATATTTATTTCAGGTTCGTAATGTAATATCCTATCGATTGGCGTATTTGGAATTTAATTTCATCTATAAATGATAAAGTTACAAGCGTTCAAAACCTAACACTCCTTCACCACACATATTTTTTGATTTGCACCCCATTATAGTCGACAAAGACGTAGTTCTACGTCAAAATAGGTCTTGACGTAATCATGGACCTGGATAGGCATGAGACCGTCCCCTGGATGATCTGGAACATCCTTAAAAGTGATAAATCCATGAAACTGATACTAGAGCTCCACAGTTAATTTCAAGAAATGTTAGGAACTGTGTCATAAAAATGCATTTGGGGCGTGAAATAAACATGGATCTGAATGGCCATTGGACCGTCATTCGGAAGACCCGGAACATCCGGGTTTATGTCATGAACCCAAATTCATTCTTATATCACAGTTCCTAATTTTTTCGAAAACACTGCGGAGTTCTAGTATTAGGTTTATGGATAGACAACTTTTACGAATATTCCGGATCTCTCGAGGACCGTTCCGTTATCTCCAGGTTCCATATGTAAGAACCATGGTCAGGCATGGAAAATCATTTACATTCATGTCATGCATTCATTTACATTCATTTGCCTCTAACTTTTTTCATCAACCGCATTCCGCAAAATGATGTTTAGAGCTTTTGTAGGTTTTGATATTATCTATAAATTTGTCCATAACTCAAATCTGTATCTCTTATGCATCACCCTAACTCAATTCAAGAAAATAGCTCTAAATCGGCCAATTTAAGAGATACAAAAAAGTGATATTCAACAAAGTTGCTTGAAATTAGCTCAGCTAGAACTTTGCTGAAGGATGTATACCTTAATTTATTCAAACAAAAAAGTTAGATTTTTGATTTTAATGCTAATAGGAACCACCCTAGAATTCATTGTCATAAAAATGAGGGCCTAACTATAAGGAACAACTTTGTAGAAGAGACTTTTAGTCTAAAGTTTCAATTTCAGGCTCAAAACATATCATTCCACCTAAATCTGCATTCTGGACCACTGTGCAGTGGTGCGTACAAAACATTTCTGGTGTAATTTTTTTTATCAAGGTGGTTCCTAGAGGGTTAAAACAAGAGGGTAAATTTAAGGTTGAAAAATTCACCTTAGTGGTGGTAAATCGAAGAAAAAAGCTTTTTATTGAATATTTCTGGTTTAAAAATATCATCAAGAAGGTGCATGGAGGGACTAACCAAAATGAATATATCTAGGCCTAGTGGAAAAATTGAATCACTTTAAAAATTTCTGGAGGAAAGTTCGAAACACTGTGGTGAATGTAGAAGCAAGGTTTATTCATTTTTTGGTGCATAATTTGCATCGTTCTGATGAATGCAAGCTTCATTAAAAAAATATGGTGGAAAATTTGCACCATTCTGGTTCATGAAGAGACAAAGCCTGAAAATTGCACCACAAAGCTGCATGGTGAAACAAACTTCACTGACAATTTTATGGTGCAACGTTCTGGTGTTCAGTGTTCACTCGCCTGTCGATAGAAGCAGACCACTCTCAATGTGTGTCACGCGATCGTCTGTGTACTCGACAGCAACCATTGTGTGGTCCTTCTCATTGTTCTTCATCAGCAGTTCTTTCGGTCGATGCGTCGTCGACTTTGGAAAGCAACCGTTTCATGATGAATGTGTGAGTGCTGACCATGTTTTACATCAATTGCTGCAATGGACGCGCTCTGCCTTCCGTTGGTGAATCTGCCATACAAGTAAACCACTGGAAGCGGCTCCCGTTCTGGCGGAGGTGGCTTATTGGATGGCGGAAGATGAAATGTTTACTTTGTTGTACCTTTTGACAATAGTTTTAAGATGTATTGTAAAGTGAACAGGAATCCTCGGCTCTGCAAAGTTAATTCGGTTGAGCCTTATCAAATAAAATAAAGAACACAAAAAAAATCTTTCTGGTGAATGGAAGAGCATGCTTTATTGAAAATTTCAGTTGCAAAATTTGCACCGCTCTGATAAATGAAATAAACAGAAAATTTCTAGTGGAAAACTTGCACTGGGTCTGGTAAATGAAGGCATAAGCTTTATTTAAAATTAAGCTATAAAGAAAATTTCTGGTGGAAAATCTGCACCGTTCTGGTGAACGGATGGGCAAGCTTTTTAGAAATTTTTTGGTCTTAAATTTGCATCTTCTGTACAACACAGGTTGTACAAAAATTCTTCTCTCTCTCTCTTTATATTTAAGTAACAGTTTTTTAAAGATAAGCTAAACGGGGGCCTCCCTTAGCTCTGTCGGTAAAGGCGCAGCTACAAAGCAAGACCATGCTGGAGGTGGCTGGGTTCGATTCCCGGTCTGGTCAATGAGTTTTTCGGGTTGGAAAATTTCTCGACTTCCTTGGGCATAGAAGTATGATTGGACTTGCCACAAAATTATACCAAAGCAAAAATGGTACAGGCATCGAAAGCTCTCAATTAATAACTGTTGAAGTGCATCTAGAACACTAAATTGAGAATACGCAATAAGCTAATATGCGATATGCAATAAGCTTGAAATGCGAAGAAGAAGAAGAATCTTTTTTTCTATTGGTCCTTTTCAAAACTAAGACTCAATTTAAAATGGTGATCGAGAGATGCAAAAATTTTCAGCCAAATAAAAAAATACGAAAATTAATACGAATTCGCCTGGAATCGCTTAGAGTCAACAATCAGGTTTATGTTTTGAAGAAATCTTATTGATTGTATGTTAGGTCATAATTCCATGAGGTTTTGAATGTCTTCAACGTGTTCATGAAAATACTATTACCACTTATACCTCTGTCAATAGCTGGTGGATTTTAATTCTAAACAAGCCTATCGATTGGAAATGTTTCTACGAATCTGCTAAAATGAAGATTTTTATAAATTTTCAATAGGTCACTATTGAAAACTACACAAATATCCAACTGTTGCAATGGTGATCAAAATTATCACCGATTGTCTGCAAAAAGCGCTTTCCCTAACAAAGTTGTCAAAATCGAATTCCATCTGGTTTTGCCGAAAGGTGCTTATTCAATCACCGCAGCAGCAGCAGTGCTTACGGCGCGTGGCGTTGAACATTGTTCTCCAGTACACAACGAAAGGCAGCTCACAAGCAGTGAGCTGCAGCCCACATGAGCGTCCATTCACCGAAGAAGAAGGAAGAAGCCGCACCGTTACTGATTGGACTCAGTAGCTCTTCATGAGTCGCTGTGGGCCATCTATGCCGAGTGCGTCACCCTCGTTTTGAACAACATAGTTCGCCAGCCTCATCTGTGTTGAACACCCTAATAGCTCAGCATTACTCACCCATGACGACAAAACGGACCAGGACCATCATTGTTGTTCAACAGTTGATTTTCATTGAACGTTCGCTTGCCTTGCTGATAGCAACAACAACCCCAAACACAGCATCCAAACGTTTGTGGTCAAATGCGTAATGGTATTGAAGTGGTACATACAAATTCTCGCAATGACCGAATTAACCAGAAACACTTCAAATTAAGAAAAGGTAGGACGCTAGAAAAAAGCAAATGGGAAATTTTAACTAGAAATTCGTTTCCCTAACACAGTCGCCGAATATTTATACCGAGCACGTAATCCTACGTCAAATCTACGGTCGTGTCTTGGATACAACCTCTTACAGAGTAGACGCATTGTAGAACAATTTCGCTCAAGAAATCAAATGACTATCTCTGCACGGTGATTTTATACAGCTGATTCCGTGTTGGTAGCATGACCCCGTGGGATCGATTCGGTTAATTAACGCAGCACAAACATCAAACCACACTCCATCTTCTCGTTCATATCTACCACTAAACTTTTAATTGCTTCTGCGCGCCATGTAGAAGGATTATGTGAAAACCAATAACGTTCCTATAAATAAGCCAAATAGTCTGCGAATGTGATCCCCTATCGTTGTTGCGATTTGTCGGGCGTTCCACGCCAGATTCAGTCTTATCACCAACAAAGCAATTCACCATCAGGTACGTACCGGTCGACGCGAACAAATCTATGTGGGTGTATTCCCCTAGCGAAGGGTGCTGATATCCCACGAATGACGAATTTAGTCCTATGCGCATCGTGGCCAGCACATGTGTTTCACTCACCGTCCGCCGATAAGCACTGATAGGCGATATTGACGATTCTGATAAGTGCTGAATTGTTCGCAATCTATGGCACAAAAGTATACGCTTCCGTGCCATAGTGTGTCAGTGCTTTGCAGGAATTAGGCGGATTCGGGTGGGTATCGGAACAAGTTGTGGAATTCAGTGTGGTGTGATAGGATTAACCATCGCAGAAGGAGAGCATAAGTGGATTTCTGGATCGATTGTTTTTTACGGTAGGATATCCGAGATAAATTTTCCAAGAGATATTCTCTGCTTAGGTCAATGCAAACCCAAAGGTGGTAAAAATGTTACGTCGCAAATTGAAAATTACCGTTCAAGTGGCTTATCACACGAGTAGGGATTTTATTGCAATCGGAAACATAGTTTAAATAGTCTAGTATTCGTTATCAACAGCGAAACGTTCGTCATAAAAGCTAATAGAATGACTCAAATCATTGTTCCATGGATACAGCTCAGCGCAGTTCACCGCCAAGGTGAAGGTGACGACCATCACAGGAAACACCACTACCAAAATGACGTCAAACGGGGTCAAATTCGGTCTTCTCCTGGAGAAGAATTGGATCATCCAGAAGCGGCACTACCTGCAGACGCTATTCGAGATTTTCATTCCGGTACTGTGCTGTTCAATCTTGCTGCTGGTTCGCGGCCTCGTGGATCCCGACTACATCGCCAATGTCACAACCTTCAGAGCACTGCCGACGGATACACTGAGTCAACGAATTTTTATGTACGTTTACACAGTTTCTTTAATTAGTGCTTAATTTCGCATACTAAAAGCCATTAATCTTTCATTCCAGAATCAACGGGGTACCCGTGGACTACCGGTTAGCGTACTCTCCGCAGAATCCAATCCTTGATCAGATCATGTCCAACGCAGCCGAATCGTTAAATATTTCTTCAATAGGCTTCCCGAATGCTCAATCCATGGAATCGACCCTAATGAGCGATAATATTCTATCCGGAGTAGAGTTCGATAACTCCCTAGCGGTACAGCTCTGAATCCCACATGACCTATCCAACCGAAATCACCTGATCACCTGTCGCATCTTTCAGAACATGACAACCCTCCCGAAAAAGCTCAGCTTTGCGTTGCGATTCCCCGCTGAGCTGCGGTTCGGCAGTGGATTGCTCTCAGATTGGGAAACTCGTCTACTGATGGTTCCGTTCACTCCACGGCTGCGTTTTCCCAACTCGGATGACGGTGGAGCTCCCAGTTATTACAACGAAAACTTCCTCACCATCCAAACCGCGGTATCGAAAGCGATCATTCGGGATCAAAGTCCGAGCGTAGAGCTTCCTCCCGTTTTCATTCAGGTAAATCAGCCTGGATAACGTTTAAGGTCCAACAGAGCAATACCAATTCGGTTCGATTTACAGCGCCACCCTTATCCACCGTACTACGACGATCCGATTCTACAAGCCATGGAACAGCTGCTGTCGTTGGTCATCCAGCTTTCGTTCTTCTACACGTGCATCGTGATGGTGAAGCACATTGCCGTCGAGAAGGAAAGACAACTGAAGGAAGCGATGAAGATTATGGGACTGCCCAACTGGTTGCACTGGGCTGCGTGGTTCGTCAAAAACATCATACTGCTGGTGATTGCAATCTCGCTGATTACGGTCCTGCTTTGTGTGAGTATTGCTATGATTATGCGCTGTTCAAGAATGTAACAACTTCCATCTGACCCAACCAGGTTTCCATCAACGAAACTGCCATCCTGGAATATTCAGACTGGTCCGCTGTTTGGGTCTTCCTCTTTGTGTACAGCATTTCCATCATCTGCTTCTGTTTCATGATGAGTGTCTTCTTCAACAAAGGTGAGTTCCTTCGAATTTTGAACCATCCACCCGACGATTTCAACTGATTAAACATTCTCAGCCAACATCGCTTCCGGTATCGCCGGTCTCATGTGGTTCGTCTTTGTGATGCCCTACAACGTGACGGTGCAGAACTACGACGGGATGTCCACCGGGAGTAAGATCGGGATAAGCTTGTTCCACAACAGTGCCATGTCGTTCGGAGTGATGAGTACCCTGCGAATGGAGGCCAATCAGGTGGGATTGCGCTGGAGTAGTCTATTTACACCGGCCACGATCGACGATGGATTAAGCGTCGGGGTGGTCATCGTGATGCTACTGGTAGATGCTTTGATCTATCTGGGAATTGCTCTGTACGTGGAACAGGTGATGCCCGGCCAGTATGGAGTGGCGAAGCCATGGAACTTCCTATTTAAAAAAGAGTTTTGGACCAAGAAGCCTGTTAAGACGGAGGAGCTTCCACGGAGAGGAATCGAGAGGCAGAATTCGAGATACTTTGAAACGGACCCCAGCTCGTCGAATGCAGGCATTCAGATCAAGAATCTTCGGAAGGTGTTCGGTGGAAACAAAGTTGCCGTCGAAGGTTTGAACGTCAAAATGTACGAAGATCAGATTACGATTTTGCTTGGACACAATGGAGCTGGCAAGACTACGACCATGTCCATGCTGACGGGAATGTTTTCTCCAACCTCGGGAACGGCGTATATAAATGGGCATGACATCCGAACGGACATTGAAGGGGTGCGTCAATCGCTGGGACTGTGCCCGCAGCATAACGTGCTATTTGACGAGATGACGGTGACCGAACATCTGAAGTTCTTTGCCCGATTGAAAGGTGTTTCGAAGGATGCTCTGAGCAGCGAGATTGACAGGTACCTGAAGATGTTGGAGCTGCCGGATAAGCGCAATGCCCAATCGCAAACTCTGTCCGGAGGTATGAAGCGGAAGCTGGCAGTTGGGATCGCACTTTGCGGTGGATCCAAGGTAGTATTGCTGGACGAACCAACTTCCGGAATGGACCCGTCTGCTCGGAGAGCCCTCTGGGATTTGCTCCAGAAAGAGAAGAAAGACCGTACGATGCTACTGTCGACACACTTTATGGACGAAGCGGATGTCCTGGGTGATCGCATTGCAATCATGGCGGATGGAGTCCTGAAAACGGTTGGATCTCCGTTCTTCCTGAAGAAGACTTTCGGTGTTGGGTATCGGCTGATTTGTGTCAAGGGCACTTCTTACAATAGGGATCTGCTGTGTCAGATTTTGAAGCGCTACATTCCGGACGTTCGGATCGATACCGACATAGGTTCGGAGTTGTCTTTTGTGTTGAAAGAGGACTACATCGGAGTGTTCCAGCAGATGCTGGAGGAATTGGAGAGCCGGATGCATGAGTGCGGGATCAGTAGCTACGGAATCTCGTTGACCACGATGGAGGAGGTTTTCCTGAAGTGAGATCCCAGTATGGTCCCATAAAGTTCGAAAAGTTAATTTGTCACGTCTATTTCCAGGGCCGGAAGCGACACGCTGATGGAGTCTAATGACTCGAATGGAACGGCCATTGAGACAACTAATCAGAACTGTAAGTTCGGTCAAACTTTTAACAACAAAGATTCCTAATTCCGGTTATTTCAGACTCATTGAACAACATGAACTTGTTGATGGGAAACGAATTGCTGATGAGTCAAATCAAGGGTCAGTTTTTGAAGAAGTTCCTATCTACCATTCGCTCGTGGGTTACGCTGATCATTCAAAATGCCATTCCAATCTTCTTCGTGGTGATGTCGTTTGTGATTGTCCGAAGCATTTCGAAGGATCAAGATCTGCCACCGTTGAAGATTTCACTAGATCCCTACAAAGATACAGTGACGGTATTGGAAGGAGCTACAACAGACAACCGAGTGCAAGCCTACCAGAATCAATTTAAGAGCATTGATGGTTCCCATAGGCTTGACATAATTCCAGGAAGTATGTCGGATTACATTCTGGATAAGGTTGGTTAAAATCTGTAGATTTTAGACAATTTTTCACAAACCTTACCCTTTTCAGTCCTTGAAAGCCATCTCCGATGTGAATGTCCGCTACATGGTAGGAGCAACTCTCAACGATACCGCCTATACAGGATGGTTTAACAACAAAGGCTACCATACAGCTCCACTGGCGTTGTCTCTGATCTACAATGCCATCGTGAGCTCCGAATGCCCAACCTGTGAGCTTACAGTAGTCAACAAGCCTCTCCCGTATACGTTGGAGACCACACTTGCCACCGTGAATACCGGAGTCAACGCTGGGTTCCAATTGGCCTTTAACACCGGTTTTGCAATGGCCTTCGTGGCAGCTCTATTCATCTTGTCCTACATTCGAGAACGAACTTCCCGTTCCAAGCTGCTGCAATACGTCAGTGGAACCAACATTGCCCTCTACTGGGCTGTTGCCTTCATCTGGGACTACCTAATGTTCATCATTACCTGTTTGCTCTATGTTGCAACGGTAGCAATATTCCAGGAAGAGGGTTGGTCCTCCTTTGCCGAGCTTGGGCGGGTGTTTCTTCTACTGATGCTCTTTGGAGTAGCCTTCCTACCAACCACCTACCTCTCTTCTTTCCTGTTCACCGTCCCTGCCACAGGTTTCGTCGTTGTCATGCTGATCAACATCGCTTCCGGGGCAATCTTCTTTACAACCGTTACCTTGCTCAAATTCCCAGGCATCGATCTTAACGAAATTGGTAATGCCCTCGAATGGGTCTTCATGTTCTTCCCGAACTTTGTGCTCACTCACGGACTGAACAACATTAACCAAATCTCCACCACCAACATATCCTGCAAGAAAATGTGTGACCTTTTAAAAGGCTGCACGATGGAAAATGTCTGTGCAATCGACGAGAGGTGCTGCGTTCCAGAGTTGTTTTCCTTTGATGAACTCGGCATCAATCGTAATCTACTGTTCCTGGTTTTCGTTGGAATCTCGTCCTTCCTGGTCATCTTAGCACTGGAGTACCGATTGATTCACCAACTCGTTGACATAATTTACAAACGAAAATATCCGTGGACACTTCAAGCGGTTGACGAAGATTCGGACGTGACAGCGGAGAAGAAGCGTGTGCAGGCAATGCCACCGACCGAACTGAATCAGTACAATCTGGTGATGAAAGACCTAACGAAGTATTACAAGAGCTTCCAAGCGGTGAACAACCTCTCGGTGGCGATTGATCGCTCGGAGTGCTTCGGATTGCTTGGAGTCAACGGTGCCGGTAAGACGACCACATTCAAGATGATGACCGGGGACGAGAGTTTCTCCTCCGGAGAGGCTTGGGTAAAAGGGGTGAGTTTGTCCACCAACATGAGCACAGTTTATCAGAAGATTGGCTACTGCCCGCAGTTCGATGCATTGCTGGATGATCTAACGGGAAGGGAAACGCTGAAGATCTACGCTCTGTTGCGTGGAGTTCGCCAAGAAGACGTTGGTAATGTGTCACTGACTTTGGCGGAAGACTTGAGCTTCCTGAAGCATATTGACAAGAAGACAAAGGACTTCAGCGGTGGAAACAAGCGGAAGCTGAGTACGGCTCTGGCTCTGATGGGTAATCCATCGGTGGTTTACCTGGACGAGCCAACGACGGGTATGGATCCTGGGGCGAAGCGCCAATTCTGGGACATGATCTGCAAGGTTAGGAGTTCGGGCAAATCGATTGTGCTGACGTCGCACAGTATGGAGGAGTGCGAGGCCCTATGTACCCGACTGGCGATCATGGTTAACGGGGAGTTCAAGTGTTTGGGATCTACGCAGCACTTGAAGAACAAGTTCTCCAAGGGATTCCTGCTGACGATCAAGGTGAAGAAGACCGACGATATGCAGGTACAGCAACAAAGGGTTGCAGGGGTGAAGTCGTTTGTGATTGGTCAATTCGACGGAGCGGTGCTGAAGTAAGTTGAATGTTTTTTTGGAGGTCAAAATTTTACTAAAACATTTTTGTTTTACAGGGAGGAATATCAGGATTCGCTAAGCTTCCACGTGCCAAAGACGGACCTCAAGTGGTCGACGATGTTTGGATTGATGGAAGCGAACAAAACCCGGCTGAGTATCGAGGACTACGCGCTTGGACAGACTTCGTTGGAGCAGGTGTTCCTGTTCTTCACCAAGTACCAGAGGGTAGTCTAAGCAGCCGGAATGTGTGATTGGAAGTGCAGTATTTTGCTTATATTGAAATAATAAAAAAAAAAACTATTTATGAAATTGTGTTTCAAAAAAAGGCAGATCTACGATCAGATATCATACAGTTCCCCCCCCCCCCCCAGCCTGTACCGTTGCAATTAAAATCTCCCATATTCAACCGTGGATCAGGAAGTACCGAACAGATATCTGAAAGTTGTTTTCGATTAACAACGGCTCTAGGAGGAATATAAATAGAAGCAATACAAAGGCTCGTACCTTTAAAAATAGCCTGACATGCGACAACTTCAATACCTGGAAATTGCGGAAGATTCACTCTATAGAAGGAATGGCACTTTTTGATCCCCTAAAGTACCCCTCCTCCACGCGAATCCTCACGATCCAGTCGAATAATGTTAAAATCATAAAAAAAGGAAGATCTACATCTGAAGAGAGCCAAGTTTCACAAAGAGCAAATGCATCACAATCATTATTGTGAACTTAAAACTTAAAAGAGTCTAATTTAGGAATAAGACTTCGACAATTTCACTGTAGAACAGTGATCAAATCTCCGACCTCATTTGGAAAATCATCCATCGAAGGAAATGGTTGCTGCAAGGAGGGGCCACTTCAATGTCAATTGCTTCAAGAGGGTCTTCACAGGAGGAAGCATTGCCAGAACAATGCTTTTCAGAGGATCACAATGTTATCAAATGAGAAAAACCCAGATGAAGAAGGGGCTTTTGTTGTTATAACTGGGGCATCAGGGGTTTCAATGATGTCCCCGGGAGAGATGGAAAATTCTGGTTATAGTCAGTTCTGCCGAAACCAGGAGGAGTTGAAACTTCCTGTTTTCCACTACTCCTTGATTTGGGCATGCTGATTTGCGGTTTCTTATCTGCAACTTTCCGCGGAAAGGATGCGTCTTCGTTTCCGTGAAGAATTGAAAGGAGTTCCCTGCTCAGCCAAGTCAGAGTCAGGCTCGTCATCTGACAAAAGAGCAAAGGGATTTTTGTTGTCGGTCGATATGGCGTGAATTTCTTAAGCTTCTCCCCGCGTTGTTTGTACGCCGGGCACGACGAGAGACCATGAGGAGTTCCCTTACAGTACACGCATTTTGGTGAAGTGACTGTGCAGGTGCCATCCTCGTGCTTCTCCCCGCATTTGGAATAGCGTGCCTGCTGCCACAGTGAGAGGCCGTATGTCACAACTATTTGCACAGTTAGCCAAAGTTTTCCCAACTCGATGTAGTGCGGAAGGGCTGAACCAGAAAAGGTCACCCAAAACGAGTCTGTGGGGGTAAAGATCGTTTTATCACAAACGAAATTACAGACGACTTTCTCCGAAGAAATGAATTAAAATAATGTGGTTCTCTGTAATAGAATTTTAGTCCACCTTCCGCCCCTCACCGCCAGGTTCGCTAGTATTTTTGTTTTGAATTAATTCAAGTTGGTTTTGTGTGCAATGATCTGGCAACTCGTGTTCTTGCTCGTGTTGACGGGGTGCTGTTTTCTCACTCATCGAAGGAAATTTTGATTAGAGTGAGAAAGTAAGGAACAGTCAGCGCGGGAGCTGTGTGCGTTACTATAGGTGCGGCAGAAGGAATGTAGTCGACTCTGTCGTTCTCACGGTGTTCTTACGCATGATCCAACGTTTCGTCACACTAGATTATGCATAAGAACGTCGTGATAATGCAAGTGCTCGCTTGCTTCCTTCTGCCTCACCAATCACATTGATCACAGCACATACGATTCTCCGTCGGTTCGTGGTGCATTGTGCATTCTTTGTGCCATACCACCAGTCCAAACACTAGAAGTTTTGGAAGGTTCTCCCTCAGTACTTGTAAGCAGTGTGATACCAGCTGACATTCGCATGGGTAGAGAAATCCGGAACATTTTCTCACTTTTGAGCATCAACGTCAACCCGGTCTCGAATCGCATTTCCGCTTGAGGTGGCACCGTTGGCAGTAATCTACTGCGCCGTGGGAAAGACCTGCTTAGTGCACTAGTGCTGGAAAATTCTGCAAGGTCGTCATTAAAATTAAATCAACTTTTCTTCGCTGTAACGTACTCCGGATCAGACTCGCTGGTGGAACGTTTTCGACCCGAAAAGCTTCAGTTTGAACTGCTTCCCAAAAGATTTCTGGGCAGGCGTCTTGGGACGCACGATCTCCACCGAGGCATCCGTTAGCGTGTTCGTGTCGGAGCGGATGACCTGTTTGATCGGCTGCAATTCTACCATCGATTTTTGGCGCTGCTTTTTGTTTAACTTCACACGATAGTTGAAATCGAACACGGTCGACGATCCGGCGGAGGATGCTTCGTCTTCATTCTCCGAAGAAGTCAACGATTTGATCTTTTCCGAGCTGAGCTTCTCGAGCCTTACGACCGGTTTGACTCGAAGCAATTTTTCGACGGAAGTTCCTCGTGGCAGTGGAATCTTCTTGACCAGTTCCTCCAGACTGATTTCTTCGCTTCAAAGAAACGAACGAGGAAGAACTAGATGAAGACGTGGACAGCCGTCACTTCGACGTTGGTTTCTTTCGTGTAGAAACAAGATCGGAATCGCTGTCGTCACTGTCTATTGCGGTTCGTCTTTTCTGAGATTTGCGTTTGGTCGTCAATGCAACTGACTCTTTAGAATCTGAATCATCCGATTCAATCTGACGTCTGCCACTAGATCGGCCCCTAGAACTCCCCTCTCTGCTATCGTTACCGGCTTCCGCCCATCTTGCTGCTTCCACTCTTCGGGAAGCCTCGGCTAGCTTCAAAACCGCTTCCGGCGTCTTTCGGACAATCGGACGACAAAAGGTGAAAACATAGCTCGTAACACAAAGGATCAGATCCCAACGCTTGCAATCGTCGTAATCTCGCCCATACCGACAGCGACACTCTTCAGCGTCACACTCCGAAGGACGTTCCAACTGATCGTTGAATACATTCGGTTCCAGCTTCCACGAGGCATCCCTCGAAGAAATAAAATAAAATATTCAGTATTCAAATACCGATTCACCCACCTCCGCCGCTTCACTTAATTTTCCGGAATATAAATGCCACGCTGATAGATCTGCTGACTAAAGTCGTCCTTGTTGCACAAAGGGCAATTGAAAAAGTACTTCGCCGATTGGGCAAACTGTGCCACGTAGCTCCGATGGAACCAGCCATTCTGACAGCACGGGGCACGAATCGATTCCAGCTTCCTGTACGGTCCCATATCATCGTAGCAAATCCCAGAAGCTACGGTCTCGGAGTGTTTCACCTTATCCACCAGCGCTACGTGCTTATCGCACCACGACTGGAACGTTTCCACGTAATGCGACAGGCACTCATTCTGCATCCCACAAAGCGTATGGAATGAACGGAAGCACTTCTTCGCGCAACACCAAACGTTTGCATACCGTTCCTTGCAGATGTAACACTTTTGACCTCGGATACGAGCTTCCTCATTTCTGATGTCCTCCTTCATGAATCCGAAGATTCCCTCCTCGTCTTCAGGTAACAACACAGCTAAAAAAAGTAGTGTAAATTTCCGTTACTATGATGCACATAAATGGAGCGTCATATATCACACAAGTTTAGATTATAGATCGTGTAAATTTATGAGAAATGCCATGCAATATTCCATATATTGTATGCAACTGTCCACTTTTGTTTGCAACATTTCTTGCAAGCTGCTTGTTTACGTGAAAAGGAAGTTTACATGTATGAATGTTTGCATGCATGGATGTTTACATCGCCAGTAAAATTCAGAATTTTTTGGTGTGAAGGTACACGTAGCAGGTATAATGACTAGTTTTGCCACGTCTAGTAGCCCGGTCCAGAATAGAGCATCGCACCATCGTACCGCAATCATGCTCAAACGTGTGACATACAGCATCTTTAGCCGAAATAAATAATAAATTGAACAAAATTGGTTTCATCCGATCCTCCTTCATTCTCACCATCTCACCTTCAGCACGTCGATCGCCTCTTTGATTCGATGGATTTCAGCATGATTTTGGAGTAAATTTTCCTCCTTCAGATCGCCCTCGTCGAGAACTTTCAGTTCCTCTACGGAGGAGCAAATGCATACCAAGTATGGCCACCCGAAAAAAAATTATTATAATAAAATAACGAAATTACAATGATTTTTACGGTTGAATTTCGGGCACATTATAAATTTATTGTTAAATTATTGGACGGGAGAAAAAATAAATTTCGTTTTAAAAGATACAATTCTCAATGAAAATTAATTTGATGAGATCAAATTTGTTCGAGAAAAATCAGTTTTTTATTGTTAAGATGCTTAACAACCCCCCTTTTTTACTGTACATTTCTCATACACCATGATTTTCGTTGTGATTTTATGATAATCAACAAAAATCTCCATTCAAAATCATTGTATTTTTATTGGATTTTTTTTACGGGCGAGTCCTGTTTGGCGTCCAACAACGATATCTTCTCGGTCGCGAATGACTATGGCTTTGGTTAGGAGCACCGACTGATGAAATCTTTAGCAACAATTGCCGACAAAAAGCGCGAGTCATTGACAGCTCAACATCGTTTACTTGTAAGCAAATGTTAACCCGATGTGTTTACCCCTAATCATTTTGGCCTAAGGTCTTTCATTATACAAAAGAAGTGCAGATAACAATGAACACAACATAGTGACATGCAGTTTGACAACAGGCTCTCCCTTTCAATTTTCGTTAGAGAAAAAGAGATAACAGGCGGTGCCCCAATAGCATGAACTACTTTAAGCTAGTACATATGAGTAGATAGTGTTGCCGTGAGGTACACTCGAAAATTTCAAATGTAAGTGCGTCAAACCAAATTTCGAGCCGCTCCGTCTGTCACTTCGTTTGTGGTTTTATCCTCGCCGAAAGATACTGAGCCCAGTTTCTGGACTTCCAGTATCTCAAGCAAGGGGTTCTTGAAACGGCCAACCGCTTGCTTCGTCAAGATCTCGGGTGTCAGACTCGCTTCGGTGACCACACCTTCGATATCCACATTACAAGCTGGGATGTACACTCTATACTCGAGCGTAAAGAGCTGGGAGGCAACAATCTTG